TTTATTCAATATTCTTAAATGTACATAAAACCTATGTGGTCGTAATTGTATGTAAATACTGTTAAACGTTCTATAACTCCTCTGAAATATGAATACAAGGAAAATTGGTTATTTAGTATAATTCTGACTGAAGACTTGACTTACTATTATCTCAGATTCCTTCACTTGCAATATGGTATCCATTATAGCTCCACCAATTACAATCTGCAGCACAAACAATGCATAATTTAAACAGAACAAATAATGTTATATAAAATATTTTTATTTTACATACTGGATTTTGTTTTGGTGTCAGAAGGCACTGGGATGCACTGGTGCTGATAGAACCTTGAAAATTTTTCTTAGCAAGATTCACTGCAATTTCTGCTGCCACACTTGCATTGTTTTCTATGAGCGCCATGTCTATTATTTAAAAAAAAAAGAGTGAACATGGAATAAAAATAAATTTTGCTTTTGTTCTTTTGCTTCTGCATCAAAGTATTTATTTACTTACTAGATTGAAGTGATTGACCATGTGTGATTTTATTTAATTCCTCTAGTAAAAATGGTGTTACATTTTTTCCTCTTATATTTTTACACTTTGCATTTTCCAAAGCTTTATGTATGGCTGATTCCATTTCTTCAGAATCTAATGCATATTTTTCAGGAATGGAAACAGCAAACAGTAATCCTGTTTGAAGACCTAATTTCCTCTGTGTTCTTAGAATGTTTGCTGCTTCTTTTGAGTTTGATACTCTATGTGGTGCTTTTAGTTTTTGAATTGTTTCAGTGCAGTAAAATGCAGGAAAATAATTTGTTTCACCAATTTTTATAACTGGAACTCCTTGAGTTTCCTAAAAAGATATGCAAATTATTATAAACCTTTTGCTATGACATTTTTCTTGTATTAAGGGTACTAACCAAATATTCTAATGTTTTTTCAATATTTAAGATAGATTTAGCACCAGAACACACCACAGCTACAGGAGTACGACCAAGCTCTATTAAATCAGTACTAATGTCAAAAGATGACTCTACCCCAAAGTGAACACCACCAATACCTCCAGTTGCCATTATAGGCAAACCTGATAAATTTGCTATACACATTGTTGCACTAACAGTTGTTCCTCCATTTAGCTTTTGAGCAACAGCTGTTGATATATCTCTGGATGAACATTTAATTGTTCTTCCTGAATCTCTTATAGCTAATGATTGCAATTGTTCCTCATTTAAACCAACATGTATCTGCCCATTTATAATCCCTATAGTTGCAGGTATAGCACCCTAAAAAGGTACAAATGTAGAGTGCAATCAACTATTTTTTTTTTTTTTACTAACTTCAAAAAGATTACTTTTTTTTTAATTGCATCTTCGACTTTAAGAGCTGTCTTTAAATTATCAGGATATGACATCCCATGAGTAATAACTGTAGATTCTAAAGCCACAATTGGTAACCCATTTCTTTTTGCCACTTCCACATCAGTATTATAAATAAAAGTCTTGCAATTACTAATGGCTCTACAATTATTTAATGAACTGACACTTTTTACTGCTTCAAGAAATCTTTGAATACTGATCCTGTGCATTTTCACCCTTTTAAATGTCTACAAGAAATTGAGAAACATTCAAGTTCAGCTTATCTTTCATTACTTGATAACAACTCTTGAAATGTTGATGTAATAGTACTAAACATTTTGAACATACATATGTATCAAAAAAAGTTGAAGGGAATTGCACCAATAATGTATGATTAACCTATGTAGATCTCATAATCGGGATAAAATTTGAAATATTAGATTATTTTATCACAACTTATTTAATTTGGTGAAAGTTTCGATAAAAAACTTTTTCGATTTATCAATTTTCTGTGGTGATAGTCTCATTTAAAAAATCGATTTTTAATATGTAAACCGCCAATTATTTGTTTTACAGTGATATTATAATTTATTATTTGTTTAAAAATTAAGTATTTCAAATAATTTAATTTAATGCAATTCCAAATAACTACATACAGTAAAACAAACTATACCCTAATCTAATTAAGAGATAAATTATAAAAATCGTGTTCAAGTACTTTACGAAAGTACAATTATAATCTAAAAGCCTAACTATAAAAAGTGCTGATCAAATATTAGATGATAATGAATTCATTTTCAGATCAAAATTTATACATAGAAGCCCAATGAACTTTGATCCAGAAATTCAGGAACGTAGTTAGTTCTATTGTCTCTTATATAAAGTTAATTTGAGTTCTGTAAATGTCGTATTATTTCTTAATGTATCTTAATGTTGATAAAAAAGTATATTTTAAATTTATCAATACGTGTATAAATTAAAAAAATTCACTTATTTGCATTTTATTTCTTGTGCATGAAAATATCTTCGTAATTATTGGAAACTACTTAGAAAATAATGAATATTTAAAATAGTTAATTATTGTACTAATTGTTACCTATGTATACTCTTAAAATATTGATCGTGATGAAGTAAAGTTAGTATTCAATTTTTGTAAAACATAAATAAACGCATATATAAATAGAAAATACGAATTGTAAAGTCCACACTTCACCTTGTAAGACTTAATTAATAATAATAATTTTGATTTGCGACACAAATTACTTAACTTCAACTCAATATTGTTAATGTATTAAAAAACAAAAGAATAGTGGATTATTAGTGCCCTAAGTAATAATTGCTACGTTCCTGTGGAAAGTATATATAACGAGTTGCATATGATTTCCTCATTGCCAGTGTCAATGTAGTGCGTGTAATGAGTTATGAATTTCACAGATCTGTAGAGGAAAAACAATTTATTTATTATTACTTTTGTCAGTAACTAAAGCTTGAATTAACAAATGAAAATATGACAACCAAAAAATCAAGTAATTTTGCAACGTCGTATTTGAAGGGTTATAATCTGGCACAAGTTTTTGGGTAAGTATTATTAAATTTCGTACTTTTAATAAATTATGTTCGAAATGAATAAACAAGGTGATTCGTAAAACTCATCAGAAAAAAAATTACAATTCGTATATTTTTTTATTATTGAAATTTTTATTTTACATACTAGCAACTTAATTGTAATTTATAGTAAATATTCGTGTCAGTAATGAAATGAAAAATAAATTACATAAACGATATTTTGGTAAATACTTGAATTATATGTGCTTATAGGTGGAGTTATATACTTTATAAATTTATAACAAATGATTTTTCATCTACATCAGAAGCACATTTATGGCAAAATATTAAGTGGCCAGTTATTATTTTTCAACATGCTGCAGCTCTAGAGGTAAGCTGTAGTTTTATTTGTAAAAGATTAATAACAAAGTACTACTAAATATATATATATTATAGATATTTCATACGGTGCTTGGTTTAGTTAAATCAAATCCTGTATTGACAACTTTTCAAGTATTAAGTCGTGTTATAATTGTAAGTGGTGCATTCCTGGCAACTCCAAATAACTATGCTGTGTCATCTTCTGGTATGCCATTGGCCATTTTAGCATGGTCAATAACAGAAATAATTAGATATTTATTTTACTTCCTGAATCTCAATTCAGGTATACATTATTTATTGTATTATATCCAATTGGTATAACTGGAGAATTGTTGTGCTTATATTCAGCTACAAAGTATGCAAGTTCACATCCAGATGCCTGGAGCTATAGGCTTCCTAACACATGGAATTTCATATTTAGCTATTACTCTATACTTGTAATTATCATGTTATCATACATTCCTCGTAAGTTTCCCAAACATTATATGTACTTAGTATTATTGTACCAACATTATATTTCAATTTTATACTAACTTTTCCCCCTTTCATTATTTTACAGTCTTTCCACAATTATATTGTCACATGGTTGCTCAAAGGCGTAAGGTTTTAGGAAGTGATGCATCTAAGAAAGCTCAATAATACAAATCAATTTATATTTATGTAGTCAGTGACATTTTTGTATCTTGTATGTATAATAGAAATAAATCTTCGAATTTATAAAAACTGTGATTATCCCTCTTTCAATATATTATCCTTAAAGTATATGTCATAATGGTAGTATTATATTAATTATAAGAGAAGATTCTTTAACAATAATAATACACATTAGTATTATATCTAGTAATTTTTTCTTTCAAAATGTTGCCAAACATTCAAGTTTTAAATTCACGAATTAGAAACGTGTATTATCCCCACCTTACACTTGTGCCCTATCACTAAATAGCACTTATCCATTAGATAATAAATATCATCTAAATCAATTTTAAAATAAATATTTTGTACAAATTTCTTTTATAATGCTAATTAAAACTAATTACTAAGCATAACAATTTCAGTTTTCAAAGATGCCGAACCTAACAAAGAAACAAAATATGAATCTATAAATATCGTCACTATGCATTTTATTGATCGTAATGTTAGTGGTTCGATAGTCCGTTTAATTGTATGTTGACGTGAATATGCAAATCAAACTTTTTCTATTGTGGCGTCTATATTACAGAAAAGATTTGTGTAATATTAATTAAGAAAGTTATACGAGTCGAGAAGCATGTCTGAACACAACGATGACACGGAAAAGGGTAATGTTTTCGAACTGTCATTTGTCCAACATGATAAAATTCAATTTTTCTTTTACATCACCCACTCAAACATCTTTTTCAGTCATAATTTTGTATATAATTAATATTTCCATTTCACTTTATAAATTTTTTCATAAGAGAAAAATTTTAAAAATATATTTGAAGCTTTCATAATTCAGAGTACCGATCTGTCAATAAATAAAACAGTACGAAATTTTTTATCATTACCTTTCAATTTCTTTAAATACTTGTACAATTTTATTACGTAAAAATTCATATAATAGAACGTAGATAAGTGTAGCATGATAGTGGCAGAGGTTAACTGTCATCCATGAAAGCTAGAAACTTTACTAATTAAATAAAATGGTTAAGAGAATTAAAATATCAAGACATCGTTCGACGCTGTTCATCGAAAAATCAGAGCATTTATATTTTCGTATTACTGGAACGTTTTAGGTAACTGTTGAGTCACATTTGATCTTATTGAATTACGTTATAATCGTAATATCACGATGTCTATTTGCAGCAAAAATGCTTCTGCACATCGTTATTCCTTTAATCAGCCGTCACTGGCCGTTATTTCTTCAACAACTCTGCCGAAAATCTATATTTATGAATTTTCATTTGAGTCAGTACAATATATTAATTTATTTTTTGAATGATTTCTTCAAAGAGATTCTTCTTTACACTAAGTTTAATATTATTTTATCATTTTAAACACTTAACAACGCATGTCACGTTTTTTAATCCAATAGGAATTAGAGAGTTGTGATATGTAAATCTGTAATAAAAATAAAAATTACAAATTTTTATTCTTTTCTAAAATTTATGTGTTAAAAAAATTATACATTTACTTTCAACATTTCTTAATGCTTTGTTAATATTATTTATTTGTTTGTAATAGAGGAGAAACCAAATGAAGAAGCACCAAATATTTCTTCAGAACAAGAGAAGGTAGAAGACTCTGAGATGGAAAGAATTCAAAAATATCTAGCACAAAAATTGAGGTTGTTTGATTCATCAGAAAAAGTTCTTCGTGAACCTAGCATAACTGGTATAATAGATTATATAAAAGAAAATGAAAATTGTAAAATTATTACTATGGCTGGAGCTGGTATCTCCACATGTGAGTTTTTACAAATATTAAGTTAGAATTAGAAAGAAACATTACAGAGACAATATCCAGAATTTTTAAATATTTTTTAGCTGCAGGAATTCCTGATTTTAGATCACCATCAAGTGGTCTGTATCACAATTTAGCAAAATATAATCTGCCTCATCCTCAAGCTATTTTTGAGTTAGATTTCTTTATGGAGAATCCAGAGCCATTTTTTATGCTTGCAAAGGAACTTTTACCTGAAGGTTTTAAACCAACACCAAGCCATTATTTCATTCGTCTTTTATGGGAGAAGGGGTTACTGTTGAGACATTACACTCAAAATATTGATACATTAGAAAGAATGGCTGGTTTACCTCCTGAAAAATTAGTGGAAGCTCATGGTACATTTCATACTGGTAGATGCCTTAAATGTAGAGCTCCATATACTCTTCCATGGATGAAAGGTATAAATTTTCCACTTAGTACATTTTTTTATTGTTAAAATAAATTTACGAAGAATGCATATTTTACATATACCTTAAAACTCAGTAATTATTTTTAGAGAAAATTATTGAAGGTGTAATACCAAAATGTGAAGAATGTAACGAGGGTGTAGTAAAACCAGATATAGTGCTTTTCGGGGAAATGTTACCCGAACGTTTTCATTACCTTACCGATCGAGATTTCGCGCAAGCAGATCTTTTAATAATTATGGGATCAAGTTTGGTTGTCCAACCTTTTGCATCTTTGGTAGACAGGTATACATTATTAATAAATTCCAACAATAATTAATTTTTTTGCAAAATTATAACTTTGATTTTTCAAAGGGTACGTTCGGATTGTCCGCGTTTACTCATCAATAAAGAAAAAGTGGGCATGCAAGACCGTTTATCACGATTCTTAGGACTGCGGCAAGGTTTAATTTTCGACGAACGAAGTGGTCGCGACGTCGCTTGGATAGGTGCCTGTGATGCTGGTTGCCAATTATTAGCCGATGAATTGGGTTGGGGCGTATGTATTATTGAATCGATCTGCACTGATTTTTTGGTCTATACTAAGTCATTAATTTATTGAAATCTGTTTCTTTTTAGGACGAACTGAAAGATCTTATAAAAAAAGAACACGAACGTTTAGACGCGGAAAATACTAAGAAGAATTGACTCCATTAATTATTGTAATATAAATGCAATTTTCTAGGATAATGGAGACTTCATTGTGCCGCAATTTTTTTAATATAAAAAGACTAAACAAATAATATTTTGCTTCGAAGTAATTATAAAGGTGTTGTTTAGAATATTAAAGGTTTAACGTATAAATATCGAAAAGCCCTGCTTTGATCTGTATCTGTATCATCAATTTCTATAGAGAACCGTATGAAATCAACGGTAAGAGTATAATTTTCGAACGTATACTTTTTCAGGAATTGATGTATTATAAATAATATATCAATAAAGTAGAAGTATTATAAATAATGATCGCTCAATTATGTGTAAATAATTTATTTCTCGATTTATAGTATACATATAATGATGTTATGCAAATAAATGTAATTTTGGCAGTTGAATCATGTGTACAAAAAAAAATAAAGGAAAATATATATTACAATATAAAAATCATTTCATATTAAAGGGCCTGACGATAACTTCCTGAGCTTCCTGTTGATGTAATTGTCCCTCACCGACGGCTGGCGCAGCCATGGGTTTACGGCCACTATACTTCAGCTGTAAGTTAGAATTTTATTTTCATAAATACGTACTTCGAATAGTATTGAAGTTATTAACTTACTGGTCTGCCGCACAAATTCTCAAAACGAGGCTTGACAAAGCTCCATACTCCCATATTTTGTGGTTCTTCTTGACTCCATATAATCGCTGGAGGAAATATTTATGTGAACATTCATAAAAAGGATTTAAAAATCTATCTTTTTTACTTACTCTTCGCCTGTTTATATTTCTCAATCTCCTGCAATAATTCATGAACTGGGAAAGGGCACAGACATTCAAGTCTGATAATTGCCACATGCTTTTGTTCTGTGCTGTCTCTAAAATTATCAAGCGCGTAATAGTGCTTTCCACTTACTAGGATTACTTTAGTCACCTCTGATTCCTTTGCTTTTTCATCCCCTGTTAGAATATTATTTATTTCCTTAGAAGAAATTAAATTTTTATAAACTGATAATTTTTTTCTCTTATTCAGCATACCTATAACACTCTTGAATTTCGTCTGTGGTCCCATATCTACCAACGATGAAGTCGCTGCGGTATGACGCAACAATATTTTTGGAGCCACTATTATTAAAGGTTTTCTGAAGTTCCTTACCATCTAAGGAGAACACATGTAGACATTTTATAATAACAAAAGTACAATCAAGTAGATGTTGGAACAAAGAAGTAAATCTCACTTGTCTTCTCAGTAAATGGAAGTACTGAGCTGGTGTTGTAGGGTTGGTCACGTGCATGTTAACATTATCACCATTGGGCTTGTCCTCATTGCTATCTGTAAGCTGTAAAAACCTTTCAAGCCTGCAAGAACTGTGTTCAGGACCAGCACCATCATAACCATGTGGTAGAAGCATTGTTAAACCACTGCTTAACATCCATTTTGCCTCTCCACTGGTTATGAAAGTGTCAATAATGATCTGTGCTCCATTGAAGAAATCTCCAAATTGTGCCTCCCACATGGTTAAAGTGGTAGGTACAGCAATACTCATGCCATATTCATAGCCTAGAACTGCTTCTTCAGACAAGATACTATTGGCTAACTCTAGCTTCCCTGTTTGACCCTCAACCATGGAATTCAATGAAATATGTATATCTGAAATCATAATTAATAAGAGGATTTATATTAATTTACATTTGCAGGCATTTTTTTGGTACCTTCTGTGGATTGATCAATCAGCATAGCATGTCTATGTGAAAACGTTCCTCTGCCTATGTCTTGACCACTTATTCTAACATTGTATCCCTGATACAGTAAGGTTCCAATTGCCAAAGCTTCAGCAGTGGCCCAATCCAACTGTTCATTATTTGCTACTTTGTTCAGTCGAGGTTGAATGTGACTCTTCATTAATTTAGGGTGAATTGTCTGTTGCATGGTAAAACGATACGCTTAATTAGCCAGGAAAACAGAGTAGAATTTAATTGTACGATGAAACGTGTTCTCACCGAGTTATCGTCAATGTGAACACTTTTTTCGGCAATGAACCTCAATAGGCTTAAATCAACTCCCGTGTCCCATTGCGTTATGCTAGCATCAGCTTGCTGTATTCCACTCCACAGACCTGCAAAATATGCTGGCAGGGGCATATAATTGTCGACTTGATTCAAGGCTTCATTCAGCTTCTTATTATGCTTCTCAACTATGTTTTTAGCTTTCTCCATTGAAAGGACATTACTTTTCACCAGTTTATCCAAGTATCTGTCTGGTACTGATCTAATTAGAAATGAAATAAAATTATTTCTACGATTTAGGAGTACTATAAAATGAATTGGGAAACACCCACGAGCGATTTTGAATGATTTTATAAATTATTGGATTTGTGAAGACAGGATCGTCCAGTTCATTGTGACCCCATCTTCTATAGCAATTTAAATCCACGAACACGTCTTTCCTAAATTTTCTTTGGTATTTGAAGGCTATCCTAGTAGCTCGAACGACCATCTGTAATGTTCAAAAATTTATTTTATTTATCTTATTGTGAGAGGAAGAATTTAAAAAAATATCTGTTTTCACTAACCTCAGGATCGTCACCGTTTACGTGAATCACAGGAGCAGAGATCATCTTTGCTAGATCCGTGCAATATCTCGACGATCTTCCCCTAGAAGCTGGAGTTGTGAAGCCTAATTGATTATTGATGACCAGATGAACAGTTCCACCTATTTCAAAGTGAGGAGCTGCAGACAATGCCAAACATTCCTGATCTACACCTTGAGCAGCATAAGCTGCATCTCCATGAACCTACAATTAACAAATTGAGACTTCAAAGTTTCACACCATTCAAACTTATCCATTTTTAAATCTTATTTGATGGAATTTCAAGAGATATACTTGAATATTCAACACTTTATCGCCCCATCGAGCGTTTGCATCCTCATTATAAGCACCATCTTTGATCACTTGCATCATTCCTCGAGTTTTCCCCATGGAAACAGGATTCACAGCCTCAAGATGTGAAGGATTTCTCAACATAGTTACATGAAGGCTTTTCTGATCAATATTGAGGTCTGTGGAAGACACAAAGTGACTGATAACATCACCAGTAGCAGTCACGTCATCAGGAAATTCAGAATACCCTCGTAATTTTCTGAATAATTTTTCTGGAGGGAAATTTAGCATTCCTGTGAGGAAATTCAGTCGACCTCGATGAGGCATACAAAGCACAATGTATTTTAAGTCATCTGAAATTTGATAGTACCGAGATATATATTTAGAATGATCTATATTTATCTTTTGTATGTTTTAGTTTTCTTTACCATTCGCACACAGCTTGAAAAATTCATGGAAAAAGGCCATCATGCTCTCAGCACCCTCGCCACTGTATCTCTTAAGGCTCACGAACTTAATGGCCAAGAATTGATCAAAAGTTTGACTTTTCAGCATCTCTGTCGCGATGCCGATTTGAGTTTCTTTTGTCAGAGGATCGGTCAAACATTTCTCCACAGTTTCTGCGAACCATTCCCTCTCCTCCTCGGTCTGTGTAGACATTAAGAGAAATCAGGTACTTATAGAGATTTTCTACAAAGAAATAACGAAAATTTGAGCAATTTTAAGGAATGGTTGCTCTGAAAGTTTTTGTTTTTAATTGATCATTACCTCTAGGTAACTGAATTCTAGTCCTATCGAGTTACTGTAGTTCTTTTTTAAAAATTCTATAGCTTCTTCCACGGTTCCTTCCCCTTTTCCCATGGCTAGAATACCTTTGAACGAAACCCTGTCTTTCATATTTAAACCAAATCTCTCTGGTTTTAATTCTGCCAGTGGCATTGGTTTTTTTGGCGAGATAGGATCTATATCGGCTTGTTTATGAGCGAATTCCCTGTACGCGGTAACCAGTCTGTAGAAATTGCTGTTTTTCGATCGTATTTCCAGGTACTCTGTTGGTACTGAGAATTCGAGAAATGGAAATATAGAAAAACTTCAAATAACATAAATAAAATTTTTCATCATACACAAAGTCGTCGTTAAATTATTCTTATCATCGAATTGCGCAATAATAAAAATTTCTCAAGTCGTGTTTGTTATCGTTACCGTAGATTAGCATGCTAAGCTTTTGGATGTGACGTTCGAACATTTTTATTTACCACGTGATAATAATATCAAGATTAGAATAAAAATATCTAACGTTTGATCAACATATTTACATGAATTTAATTGTGCGAATAAAAATTCGCATACATCAAATCGTTGTTAAATATTATTCATGCGTGGATTATTCCTGGAAAAGCAGGACGAATTCGAAGTTTAAATTTACTGCGCATGTGCGGTACGCCGGGCTGCCGGGTTAACACGCGATTCTCGGGCAGTCGCCTGGGACAAAGCGGGGAATCAAAGTGTCGTGCGTGTTTACAAAGTTTCGGTTGAATATTTCATGGTTGAAGTGCAGTGATTGGTGTGATTTCTGGCTGTTCTCG